TAGATATAGATATAGATATAGATATAGATATAGGTATAAAAGAGAGTTTTTAAGTAGTTTTAACTCACAAAATCACAAAGTCCCATGAGAGGCCATCTGCAAGCTGAGGTGCAAGGAAGCCAGTCCAAGTCCCAAAGCTAAAGAACTTGGAGTTGAATGTTCAAGAGGAGGAAGCATCCAGCATGGGAGAAGGATATAAGCTGGAAGGCTAAGTCAGTCTAGCCTTTTCACATGTTTGTTTCTGCCTGCTTTATATCCTGGCTGCACTGGCAACTGATGAGATGGTGCCCACCTAGGTTAAGGATGGGTCTGCCTTTCCCAGCCCACTGACTAAAATGTTAATCTCCTTTTGCAACACCCTCACAGGCACACCCAGGATCAATACTTCATGTCCTTCAATCCAATCAAGTTGACACTCAGTATTAATCATCACAAGTCCATCTCTTGTCAACTTGAACCAATACACATCTCCTGAGATCATATATTATCTTCAAATAAAGACAGCAATAAGGTTATAATTATGCCTAACTACTATAACTATCCTTTGTGCAACCGAAAACACATCAATCCGCAATGCAAATGCTACAACGTAAAGTTAATGATACTTAAATGCTGATATGGAGCCCATAAATCTTATGCCACAGGATAAAGGAAAAAGGAAATAAAATGAAGATATTTTCTTAGCACGAGTGTATAATACATAAAGATGTTTTTAACAAAAGAAGGAAATACTTATGACAATTACAGTCCTCGTATCTGCAACTGGTCACATGGTTGACGACTACCTTCTGCTACTACACATTCTGTATTCCCTTTGCCTTCAGCAAACACCTCAGCAGGTCTTGTTTTATTTTCCTGGTGGAGTGACCCAAACCTTCATTAGTAGTAGTGCCTGGATTGGGCGGTTGTAATTTCCCATTGACCTTAATCACAGGGGATGGTAATACTAAGAGATGCCCTAATGGATCTCCTGTATTCCATGCATACTCTTCCTTACCACCATTGTGGAGTAGTAGACTGATTTCATCTTGATAGTCTGGGTCAATCACCCTAGCCAACACTGCCACTCCTTTCTTAGCCTGTTGATTTAAAGGTAGGAGGAGCCCAAAGTATCCAGGTGGTAATCTTAACTTCCAGTTTAATGGAATCGTTATTGTGTCACCTGGTGGCAGTGTTCCTCCCTCTGGAACTAAGACCTTTAGGCCAGCAGAACATAATGTTATGGGACTAGGAAGCAAAAATATTTCCAGTGGAATACTAGGGGTGATGGTGAGTGGTGCCACTTCCACTTCCACCCTTTGATTTCTGGACCCATGAATCCTGGCTATGGGAGAAACAGTGCCATATATTGGACACTGCCTCAGGGCATAGATGGTCTTCTGGAGAACTTTGCCTCAGCCCTGTAAAGTATTGTCACCTAGTTGGCATTGTAATTGTAACTTCAAAAGGCCATTCCACTGTTCTATCAATCTAGCTGCTTCAGGATGATGGGAAAATGGTAAGGCCAGTAAATTCCATGAGCAGGAGCCCAGTGCTGCACTTGTTTCGCTATAACATAAGTGAGTGCCTTGGTCAGAGGCAGTGCTGTATGGAATACCATGAGAGTTGATAAGGCATTCCATGAGTCCATGGCTGCATTGCACGCAGAATAGGCAAACCCATACCTGGAGTAAGTGTCTATTCCAGTGAGGGGCATGTCCTAGAAAGGGATTGTAGTGCTGCAGCTATCCACTTTCAGGTGGTGCCTCCATGTCATGCAGAACCATCTGTGAACCAGGCCCTTATCTTCTCTTCCTCTGTCATCTGATCATAGGGAACTCCCCATGAGGCCATCGGTGTAGCCTGAGGGAGAGAGGGCAGGGTGACAGGAATGGAGACCATGGGCATTTGAGCCACTTCCTCATGTAACTTACTTGTGCCTTCAGAATCTGCTCAAGCCCGATCACGTATATCCCACTTCTATTTGATGATGGAATGCTGCTGTGCACAGACTTTATGGCTAGATAGGTCAGAAAGCACCCAGTTCATAGCAGTTCAGGTCATATGGTGACTTGATGACCCATAGTCAAACATTCAGTTTCCACCAAAGCCCAGTAACAAGCCAAGAGCTGTTTTTCAAAAGGAGAGTAGTTATCTGCAGAAGATGGCAGGGCCTTGCTCCAAAATCCTAGAGGCCTCCACTGTGATTCACCAATGGGGGCCTGTCAAAGGCTCCAAACAGCATCCCTATCTGCCACTGACACCTCAGGCACCATTGGATCTGCTGGGTCCTATGTCCCTAGTGAAAGAGAAGTCTGCAGAGCAGCCTGGAGCTGTTGCGGAGCCTTCTCCTGTTCTAGACCCACTCAAAACTGGCAGCATTTTGGGTTACTCGATAAATGCGCCAGAGTGACACATCCGAATCAGGAATGTGTTCCCTCCAAAATCCAAACAGGCCCACTAGGCATTGTGCCTTTTTCTTGGTTGTGGGAGGGGCCAAATGCAGAAACTTATCCTTCATCTTAAAAGCAATATCTCAACAGGCCCCACACAATTGGACCCCTAGAAATTTTACTGAGGTAGAAGTTCCCTGAATTTGAGTCAGATTTATTTCCCATGCTCTGGCGCGCAAATGTCTCACCAATAAGTCCAGTGTGTTTGCTACTTCTTGCTCACTGGTCCCAGTCAGCGTGTCATCCATGTAATGGACCAGTGTGATAACTTGTGGAAGTGAAAGATGATCAAGGTCTCTCCGAATAAGATTATGACACAAAGCTGGAGAGCTGATATACTCCTGAATTCATCATTTTCTTTCATAACTTTGTCCAGTGAACTTATGAGCACCAACCAACTTCACTATGTTCCTTGATTCTCCACATGTAGTCAAAAGTATTATGTATAGAGTCACTAAATTCCTTGCCTCTCATAAACGTTAAATCATCCGATGCATTTATTTTGCATAACTCTCCAAACAATTCATGCCAAGGACTATCAATGCTCTTCATACTATTAGAACAAGAGTCCTTAGAATTTTGGGTCCAATCATATTAAGCAGCCAATTCCAGAAACCCCAAAACCAATGAAGGAACTCCATGCTTAATATTCTATTCCTCTGGAACCACTCCTGGTACCAAAATCTGTATTAGTGAGGGTTCTTTAGAGAGACAGAACTAATAGGATATATATAAACAAAAATAAATACAACAAAAACGAAAATAGACAAATGGAACTTAAATTAAAATGCTTAATTAAACTAAAAAATATATATATGACTATATACATAGGAATATATATATGGATACGTAGAGAAGAGTATATATATGAATATATATATAGAAGAGTGTGTGTGTGTGTATGTGTATATATATATATATTTATATTTATATATGAGTTTCTTAAGCAGATTAACCCACAAGGTCCCACAACAGACTGTCTGCCAGCTGAGGAGCAAGAAAGCCAGTCTGAGTCCCAAAACTGAAGAGCAGGAAAAATCCAGCAAGGGAGAAAGATGTAGGCTGGGAGGCTAAGCCAGTCTAGCCTTTTCACGTTTTTCTGCCTGCTTTATATCTTGGCTGTGCTGGCAACTGATTAGATGGTGCCCGCCCAGATTGAGGGTGGGTCTGCCTTCCCAGCCCACTGACTCAGATGTTAATCCCCTTTGGCAACACCCTCACAGACATACCCAGGATCAATTCACTTTGCATCCTTCAATTCAGTCAAGTTGGCACTCAGTATTAGCCATCACACTTACATTCTAATGGGGTTGGGTTTTTTGGTTGTTGAGTTCTTTGTTGATTCAGTGTATTAACCTTTTGTTGCATTTATAGTTTGCAAAATATTTTTTCTCATTCTGTAGCTGATCTGTTTACTGTTGATCAAGTCTTTTTTGATGCAGAAGAATTTTAGTTTAATTAAGTCTCATTTGTCTATTTTTGTTTTTGTTGTGTTTATTTTTGAGGACTTGGTCATAAATTCTTTGCTTAGGCCAGGTCTAATTTCTAATCCTCCTTTACCACCTGTCTTTCCCTCCAAGCTTAATATTATTGTACCCACATTTGACACACAAGTTAAATGAACTTTATGTGAGTTAAATAAGTTGACTAGTTCAACGTAAGTCCTTTCTAATTTTTTGCCATTATAATGCTTCAGTAAACATCCTTTTATCACTCTTCTTAATTTTCCCCCAGGACAGTTTTGACACTGTCATTAATTTCCCCCCAGGACAGTTTTCTAGATGTGGACTTGCTGGATCCCAGGGTGTGCATATTTTCCAAATGGATTCATATTGTCTGGATTTGTGTTTTAATAGGGGTAGCAGCAATATCAGAGGGGAGAATGAAACAATGATTCTAGGAAGGGAGAAATATCATGTGAGAATGAAAATATGGATCTGTGTTATTGGAGTTGCCATCAGGGTTGGACCAAGCATTTTCTATGAAAATCTACAAGCACTTTCTCCTTATTAGAAAAGTACCTTGCTTGTGCTTTAAAAGATAAATGACTATTTAGTTTAGGAGATTTGCTGATAATTGCAAACCACAGCGGCTGTTATTTGAACATCCTGAGCCCCTTTTGGACCATTGTAGGAGAAGGAGGAAGAGGGGTGAAAGTGATTTCTGCTGCTGACGGCATGTATGATGACAATGAGTATTTGTCCTAACTTTTGACACTACAAACTGACTAGGGCTTTAGGCAAGTAGTGCTTTACTCCAATTGTCTTTTCAGATTTTTTTCTGAAGCTATTTGATGTCTTTGCTGCCTCGGGCCTGCTGCTCTTTCACATGCACCTGGAAGGGACTTTAAAATATGCACAGAATTGAACAAAACAGTAACCATTCATTAGTGTCCCTTAACAGCATGTTTATTTGGAAAGGTAAACTATTTATTTAGAAAGGTAAATAAACCCTTGGGCTTAGTGGATCCTAAATGCTAATTTAAATATCTGAACTCATTTTTATCCCTTATCACTTAAAATGAATTGCTAACCTGAATGATAATAAAACCTTTTTTTCTTTTAACAGTTGGAGGCATCTATACTGTGATTCAGACAAAGGCCAAAACAACAGCAGATGAATGGGGAGACAACTATTTTCTGATAGGTCCATATTTTGAGCATAATATGAAGACTCAGGTGGAACAGTGTGAACCTGTAAATGATGCCGTCAGAAGAGCAGTGGATGCAATGAATAAGCATGGCTGCCAGGTAAAGGAACTGACAGTTTACTTGGCAATTCTCAGTAAACTTATGGGAAAAAAGACTGCAATTAACACGAACTCAGAAGACCATTCACCTACTTAGGGAAAAAGCAGATTGGTGAGGAAGATGATGAACTTGCCTTTAAATGGATTCCATTTGAGACACCTGGTAACAACTAAGGAGGAAGGATAACTGGTTTGGAGTTCAGCAGAAGCTACAGGGTAAACATGTTTTTGAGGAAGTCATTAGTACACAAATCGAAGTCATGAGTGTTGGTAAAATTATTCAGTGGAAATGTATAGATTTGAACAAAAGTTTTCAGCCAAACCTTGTGGAATGTTAGAATGTTAGGCCATCTACATTACAAGAAGCCAGAGATTGCAAATGTAGAAGAAAAGCTAATGATGTAGAACCAAGGATATTCAAATCTTAATCCTCAGAATCTGTGTCTATGTTACGTTTATAGCAAATGGAATATTGCAGATGTGATTAGGTTAAAGATTTTGAGAAGGGGAGATAATCCTGATTCATCCAGGTGTGCCCAATGTAAACATAAGCGTCCTCCTAAGAGGGAGGCCTTAGAATTAGAATCAGGCAGGAGGTGTAACAATGAAACCAGAGGCTGGAGGGATGTACTTTGTAGATGGAGGAAGAGGCCACAAGGAGTGTAGGTGGCCTATAGAAGTAGGAAAAAGCAAGAAACTGGATTTTTCCTTGGAGACTACAGATGGACTGTGGCTCTGTCAACATGCTGATTTTAGTGCATTTTGGACTACCGACTTCAATATCTGTAGGATAATAGATTTGTTTTAAGTCTCTAGGCTTGTGGTAATTTGTTGCAGCTACAACAGGAATCGTGATGTCAAGTCAAGGGAGGAGAGAATTTTAAGTATGAAGAAGGGATTAAGTCAACAAAGGTTTGATCCAGGGTCTGTTGGGTTTGGTAATATTTGGGCCATTGGTAACATGGAGGAGTACAGTTTTAGAGGAGAAAGGAAGGTTAAATCACATTTCAGTTGGTTAAGGAATAAGTAAGTGGTCAGAAAAAAGATACAGAAGTTGTGAGTATGAGATGTTTCTATGAAGAAGAAATATAATAAAGTAGTTGCAGAATGACATGGTTTTGAGAATTGGTGTTTTATTAAATATGAGTAAGACCTGAGCATATTTATTTGCAAAAAGGAAATACCTAGCAGACAAGGAGAGGCTGAAAGCCCAGAATAAATGGAGGATTGAAGAGAGTAAAGTCACTGTGAATGGGGACAGGAACAAGATCCAAAGCAATATTGAAAGAATCATATTTCACTTGTCTTACTCAAACAGCAAAAAAGAGTAAATGCAAATACTAGAGACAAGTTAATGAAGAATTCAGGACAATCTTACCCAATGATTTTGATGATCTTCCTGAAGGAGGAGTAAAAGGTCATTTTATTAAGAGGCAAGTGTGGAAACTAGGGACGTTCAAGAAAGAAGTTGTTCAAGATGTTCAAGGAATTTTTGGATATATTTGAGATGTACTCATGACTTTGTAGTGGCACAAATCCACACAGCTGTGACTTTGTCCAGGCGCAATCTGCAGTCTGAGTGACAGTGCAGGAATTAGAATAGACGAAGATCCAGTGTTGTTTAGTTTCAGCATTCATGCAAATGGGTCAAGGTGGTCTAAGAATTGAAGGTAATTGTGAAAGTGATTGAATTAGTAGTTTAATTGGTGGCCATTGCATTGGAATAGATAGAACAGGAAGGAATTAAATAAGGAATAGACAGTAAAGTAAGCAAAGCCAGAAAGAAGATGATATTGTAGGACAAAATGGAGGGTTATAGGAACTGGAGGTCTTAAAGGGGAGAAAGAAAAATATGTACACTGGGAAAAACAGAGTGACAGAAATGTAAGTATAGGAGTTGTCATTGGGTAACAGAATGCCACAGGTGAATATTTTAGAGGAGAAACCTCTAAAATATTTTGGGATTTGACAAGGAAAGAATGCAGTCATGATCTCGCGTAGCTGTAATTAGGTGGACATGAAAGTCTTCTAAGTCCGGTCAAGTAACCATCAGGTTAAGTGTGCAGGATAAAAAATCTGGACTTCGAAGTTGCTTAGGATAAGGTCAAAAAGTAACCTTATCTTTGCTGAACAAGGAAAGGTAATATTTTCGGATAGCATACATTTCAAAGCTGTTTTATATGTAAATAATGAATAAGGCTTTAAAAGCTTCAGCAGAATTTTAAAAATCAGTGACTTTCCTTCCTACTCATCCCAGGAATATAGTTTCTGGGGGTGAAAAAATGCAAAGCCTTCACTTGAGATGCTGTGTGGGTAGTGGTGTCTAGGAGGTGCATGCAAAGTTTAAGGAGCGGAATGTATAATTTACAAGGGAACCTGAGATCCCAAAGAGTACCAGAAAAACACTTCTTAGTGAAGGCAGCATAGAGAATGTTAGAAATGTGATAGAACAATGCCTGTTGTACTATCAGAATGCAAGTAAATGAGATGTTAGAAGGGGCTTGCATTTGAAGTTCTTGTAAAGAAAGAGGTAGATGAGAAACACAATGAAACTGACTGGTCTCAAAACTACATGGATTTCTAGTGTAGGGATATTTTCATGTTGCAGCCAAGAACTGACTGGAGGGCAATACCAGCTAGCTTACATTCTCTATTTGTATAATAGTCTCAATTCTTCTTTATGATCTTAGCTCACTGTATCATGTGGCACATATTACACAGTGAGTAAATATTATATAATAATATTACATGTTATTTACAGTGTATAATTAGATGAAGCAATAAATTTCCCAAGGAGAAAAAGTGTTGAAAAGTTGCTTGGGGCTCGGGAAAATTTCATCTTAAAAGGAAACAGTGACATGATAAACACTAAGTTATAATGGAAACAACAGAAATGTAATGAGGGTCTTTCAAGGTTAACCAAGGAAAGAGCATCCCCACACATGCCTGGGCCCCATGGTAGAAACTGATCAAATCGGGCTTCAGAGCCCTGCAAAATTCAGCCATGGGTGGAGTCGTAAGTGCCAGTATGTAAGCAATATGAATATATTTTATTTTCTAGAGAAGGCTGGATTCACATTCAAAGAGACTGTTAGCCTCCGCTGAGTTCCAGAAAGGATTGGAAGTGGTTTATGAGGTTGTATACTATGTAATAGGAGAATAAACACAACATAAAAATTAAGACACATAAAAGTAAATTACCATAGAAATATGGAGACAAAAAGGAAGTTAAAACTTGAATATGTAAGTGATGATATACATACAACTGGAAAAAATTAGAGAGCTAATTCATTAAAACTTGCACAAGATAAGACATTTAGGAATCAAAGTCAATTTGAAGAATGTAATAGAATTATACTTTGAACTGCTAGATTAAAGAAATAATGTATCTAGGGCAATGTCTTTAGTTAAACCTCTGGCAGCGATCATATTGGGAAACATTTTGTGTCACTTTTTTGATAGTAATAGTAAGATAAATCATGCTGATACAGAAATAGCTTTTTCATCTAGCAGGAAATATTGTTAGTCTTGTTGCATAAAAGAAAATAAGCAACACTAAATTTGCATTATATCTAAATACCCCGATTTTCAGAGATACAAAGCATTTCATGGTTCTTTCATAAACACAGAGACTATTAAACCTTATAAGCTCAAGGTCACAAGAGAGTGACTAGAGATAGATGAACAGAGATGACATGATCTAGATACATTGTTTTAAAATTATGACGAGCAAGAATTCGGAGTTCTAGACGAATGGATGCATGCCCATTCCAGCTTGAGGCTCAAACAGCAGAGGTTATATGTTATCAATATTCTTTTCCAAAGTAGCTTGTTTAATCTGCTATTGAGTACTACATAAAGTTTATATCCTCAGAGTGCAAATACATTGTCCTGTCTTGCATGACCTAATATCACTGCATGGCTATGTGTTCTTTATATGACAGGTGCATTTTGGAAGATGGCTGATAGAAGGAAGTCCTTATGTGGTACTTTTTGACATAGGCTATTCAGCTTGGAATCTGGACAGGTGGAAGGGTGACCTCTGGGAAGCTTGCGGTGTTGGCATTCCTTATCATGACCGAGAAGCCAACGATATGCTGATATTTGGATCTTTAACTGCCTGGTTCTTGAAAGAGGTATGGTTTATTATACAGCGATACAACAGAGGAGCCGCACAATTGCGTTCAGTGCTCAAAATGATCCCATGAGTTTTAGATGAAGCAAATCTTGACATGATGCCATTATGACTGTCCTAATACAGTTTACAGACATCTGAGGAAATGTTCAGCATTCTGTAAATTAAATGCCAGACTTTGGAACAAAGTAATAATGAAACTTATTACTATTTACCTCGAGTCAAATTTAAATGGCATGATATATATAAAACATCGAATTATATTTGCCCAATATATAGATACTCAATATATATGCAAAAGAAAACCTCATGAAGTATAGAATCTTAAGCATAGCAAATAGTTTAATAAGCTGTTTGTTTAATAAGCTTTCCAGGTGGTTCTGATGGACACTACATGTGATAACCACGGTTTTAGGTTAACTCTCCAACCTTCCCAATTCTCTGCTCAGCCTTCTTGAATTCCAGTGTTTTGCTATTGTCTCTATTAAGGAAATGAACTCTCATCGTGGAGCCAATGTGAATGTTGATATTTTGTAAGGGCAAAACAACCTGTCTCTTTGTAAGGCATTTGGAATTAGACCCTGGGGTGAAATTAGTCCCCAATCTTCAGTGTGTTACAAAGCTGCTATTTGATTCTAAGCACTTTTTTTTATTAGCCTTTTTCTCTCTAATTCCACATTCTTAATAATATATCAGTTAATTTTATTTTTTGGCTTCAAGAAAAAGAAAACCCAAATAAGCTGAATTTAAAACATAGAATAATTTATTATTTATTTTAAAATGATGTAATGGCATTTTATCTTTGTTTCTCAAAATCAAATATGTGAATATACACATAAAAATCATTGTTCACTTTTAGAGTTTTCAAGTCATTGAAAATCTAAGTAATTATTTATTAGAAAAGAATAATATTATAAAAGTCCTTTTTTTCTTCATTATCAGATTGTTATATACTTTTGGGCAACATTTGCTTCTCCATAATTGGGCCACTACAAATATAGAAGGCATTTTCAAGTCTCTTTCTGGCAGTTCCGTTAGCAAATATCAAAATGTACACAATAAATAAACACCCATTGTGTCAAAAAAATTTTAAGTAGTTTTTAAAAAATAAGCTTATAAGTGAGTAGTCCCAATTGATTCAGCTGTTCAGGGATATCTTTAATAATTTATTATTCATCCAGTAAATAAATATTTTTTATTTTACATTTATTCCATTTATTAATATTCATTACCTATCATTAATATTAGTATTTATTCTTTTGTGCGTACAAAAAAATCAGACCCATCACTGAAATAGAGGATTAAGACATAAAAATATGTGGGGTTAATGAACATGCCACCGAACCCTGTGCTTTCTTTGCTAAATATTCATGCTTTACATTTAGACTATTTTAAATTGCAAAAGAATTTATAGACATCATAACTCCGCTTATGATGTGGACCATGATCACAATCAAGCTTCATCAACGACTTTTCTGAATGCTTTTTTTTTTTTCTGATGTAGGTGACAGATCATGCAGATGGCAAACATGTCATTGCCCAATTCCATGAATGGCAGGCTGGAATTGGACTGATCCTTTCTCGAGCCAGAAAACTTCCTATTGCCACAATATTTACAACCCACGCCACACTACTTGGGAGGTATCTCTGTGCAGCAAATATTGATTTCTACAACCATCTCGATAAGGTAAATATTCCTTCCTCCTTCTCTCTTACTCACGCTTCTTTCAGATCACTGAAGTATTGATCTGTACATTTCACCTGCCAACCAGATGGCAGAAATGCCCTTTTAGCTGATCAATATTCATGACAAAGCTTCCCCTGGGTTGACAGACAGCTCATATAGTTCAACTTTGTTCAGAGTACACCAGAGTATAGAGGTGAGAGGCCTGATTTCTGTCCCACTTTGGAACCATAGATCCGAAGGGATATGACTGGGGCAAAGACATGGTGTAGGTGCAAGGTTGGGCCCTTGTTCTAGCCTAAGGCTATGGAAATGCTGTGAATACCCTGGATCTACACACATCTCTGAGTGGCAGGTAGAGAACTGGGATTTGAGACAGACAAACTTGCACTGTGAGCTTTACTTCCTCTACTTCTTCCATCCTCCAAGTAAACATTTGATTAAAAGCCATATTATAGGTTGATAGGTCAGTTTTTCCCTGTAACTTTGCAATGCATAGGGGGCATTTTTGTGGAATCAAACAAAACAGAAGTAATTGGAAACAGGGATATGGGTCTTGGTGAACAACAAGTTATTTTTGCTCATCATAGCAGATTACCTGATTCTATGACCTGCCAAAATCATTCAGTTTTTATTTTTTTTCCTATTTTTCATACATCAATTTAGATTAATAAAAGTATGTATGTTAATATGAACAAAGCATTTGAGTAATGTAAATTTAGGGATTTTGCAGATTTGGTATCTGTATTAACAATCAAATCTATTTAGCACTCTAAGGTTTGGTTTCACTATCAGGAAAATTAGGAACTTAGAAAGTTGATTTTTAGATTTCCTAGGTTAAAGACTTCTAGGATTCTACAAAACAGAATGTGTGTGTGCATGCAATACATATATAATACTCAAATAATGCTACTGAAAACTTATACTACTATCTCAAAGACACTTAGAATGCAAGAAAGTTCTTCCTGAAAAGCTTTAACATCTGTAAAGCAATGAGGGCTCCTAATGAGCCGTTCCCTACAAAAAGGTCAGCCTAATCTAAAGGTCAAACTAGAAACATAATCTGTACATTTAAAATAAAGTCACCAAGGAATTCAGAAAGCCTGAGATGCGGGAGGTTCTTAGCGGTATATAGTAATGGTGGACTAATAAGGGCAAACCAGTGATCTGTGAGAAGCTGATAAGCTCGACAACCATGTTTCCTGGAGAGGAGTGCACTTTGACTTTAGTGAGAGAAAATATTAGAGTGACAGACTGAATATGTCACTTCGGAATTCTTGAATCTTACATAGTAATCATTAATTTTAAAAGCTACTAATAATATGCATAGGATGCACTTATTTGGTTTTAAGGAAGAAATGCCTTATAGTATATGTTATATATTACAATTTCACCCTTTCTGGCAGTGTTTGTCGTGCTGTCTTCAGATAGAATCATATATCTCCCTAGTTTAGAGGCCCTCACTTGTTGAGATAGTTAAGTGTAGTCAGACCCCTGCCCATCTTTCTAGTAAAATGTTCAGTGTAGTCAGACCCCTGCCCATCTTTCCAGTAAGATGTTCTATCTAGCAGAGTGGCTAGTAAACAGCAAGCCATCAAGAACTAACGTTTGGGTTAAATTCATAATCATTTTTCATGATAGAAGCCCCATGCTCACACTAAGTTTAGAATTTGGGTAATACATAAGAATACCAAATCATATACGTGAAAGAGTTTTAAAAATTCAGTAAAAAGAATATGTCGGAGGTTCGCTCTTGTTACCCAGGCTGGAGTGCAATGGCGCCATCTCGGCTCACCGCAACCTCCGCCTCCTGGGTCCAGGCAATTCTCCTGCCTCAATCTCCTGAGTAGCTGGGATTACAGGCAGGCGCCACTGTGCCCAGCTAATTTTTTTGTATCTCCGTCTCAAAAAAAAAAAAAAAGAATAAGTCGTAGTTTAATCTTTGATGCAGGAACCAGGATGTTTCAATACATTCTGACATAGATAAATAAAAATAGGGCAATTATGAGAATAAGAGAATTATGTTTTGTAAAATCAGAAATATTAGAGCAACTTTACTCAAATTACTGCTAACTGAAAACAATTTTTGTTAGGAGCCAATTACAAAAACTCTAATGCTGGTTTAAGTTTTTAGTAAAATTTATTATTTAAAATAACATTTTAACCATTTTCAGTCAGCATATGAAATTTTTGAGAACCTCTAAGAATATGTCTCCACACTCATTTTTACGATTTTCTTTTTTTTTATTATTATACTTTTAAGTACTGGGGTGCATGTGCAGAACGTGCAGGTTTGTTACACAGGTATACACATGCCATGGTGGTTTGCTGCCTCCATCATCCCGTCATCTACATTAGGTATTTCTCCTAATGCTATCCCTCCCTTAACCTCCCACCCCTTGCTATCCCTCCCCTAGTCCCCCATCCCCCAACAGGCCCCGGTGTGTGATATTCCCCTCCTTGTGTCCATGTGTTCTCATTGTTCAACACCCACTTATGGGTGAGAACGTGCGGTGTTCCGAACTCATTTTTTAAAGTTCAGTCATTGATCAATTATCCCCTCAACTCTAATGGCTATGTGACAAATGCTTTTTTTCCAATAACGCCTTTAGTTTTCTTATGTTTTGGCCCTTTTTTTTCTTAATAGTAATAGAATTTCCTAGATGGAAATCTGAGGACAGTGCCATTTGGGAAAATGGGGAAGGAAGCTTTGGACAATTATTTGGTGAATTTAAACTATTTCTTCTGATCAAGTTTTGAGCTGATTAATTTCAATTATGTGGTTACCCACATCTGTCACTGGACTGTGTTTTATTGATTAATATGTACTTTACTCCTTTTTTGTTTTGCTATACACATTACCCAGAATTCAGTAAAATATTATGAGCTATGTTAAAATGCAAGAAAGGAAAACCCATTGTCAAAAGACCAGGTCCAGATATGTCCTATATTGGAATTATTGTACAGAGCTTTTAAAATACAATCATAAATATGTGGAAAAGTGGACAATAACATGTGTAAATGGGTAGGGTTTCTGTAAATCCACAGCTATGGCCATATATATTACAGGCCTAAAAGATAAGGGCACCTCATAGGAGAAAAGAAAGGTAGAGGTATGTACACATGCCTGACTTCCCCGGTCCTCTCGTGAAATCGCCAGGCTCCTGCTATCCTCCTGCTTGTTCATGCATGCTCAGCCTGCTCATTTAGAAAATCTATCTTCCCATCTCTATATGTCTGAATGTTAAATGCTATCTTATCTGTGAAGTATGATTCTCTACAACAACAACAATAATTAATAATAACAATGGCTAAATTTATTGAGCACTTTCCCTATGCCGGGTACTTTTCTAAGCCTTTGACATTTGTTATCTGATTTGAAATTCACAAAAATACTCAATGGGATGGAAAATATTCCTTACTTCTTTCCAGTTATTTTTCTTAAACATTGGCTCTGTTTTTCACCACACCTCTAAATGAACACTTTCAGAGTGGGCTTTCTTGTTTTCAGGAAAAAAGCAAAATTCCTAGGCTCATTCTCAGGGATTTCAGTGATCTGGCCTTCTATCTGACCACTCTCTGTCTCTTACATTCTACACCCAATGCTACAGTCACATCAGACATCCTGCTATTTTCTTCACATGCCATAGCATTTTCTATACTTGTTCTTCAGGGCAGCTAGTATTTCAGATAAAAATAACTTTCCCAGAATTAAACTTTCATGTCCCAGTTCAAATGCCATTTTATTCATCCAACCAATTTGGAGATACAAAAATGAATAAGTCTTGGTCTTTGCAATTGCAAGTCTCACATTAGTAAAGGTGATACTGACTACCCTTGTTGTGTAGTATGAGATACTTTTGCCTTTCAGCCAGAGTGAATCAGTGCTGCTCTGATCCTATAACTTATTCAGACACATACCCATTTCATTTCTGCCTATATTTTTTTTCAACCCATTTTTTCCATTAAGGTAATAGAGATGCATAAATTGCTAAAAAAAAAAATGTTGGTTAAATGAGAGATTTGGTTTCACTAATTAGACCGGCCACATAGAGTTTTTAGGAAAACTTCTGCTGATCCAAGCATGTCCTATACAACCTGAGTTAAACATTTTCAGAAAAATGATTGCAAATATTACAGTTGTGAAAGAATGGTCTAGGAACTTTCTTGTCCTAATCATGAGATACCTCTAATGGGTCTCTTTTTAGCATTTTTCTCTCTATGTTGTCATAATTGTTGGGACTAATTTGTTGATGGAGTTGAAGTCTAAATGGCATAAAAACAGACGAATACAACACTGTATTCATTCATCAGTCAGGCTGATTAGGGACCAAATTAGGGTTCTACTAAGATTCTTAATAGGACTGTGACCTTGACAAGTTTTTTGACCTCTAGAAGATTCAATTTCTCTCTCCATAAAATGAAGATAAAATATGCGTTTCGGTAGTTTATAAGGATTCAGTACGTTACTGTGCTTCGTGGACTGCTTGACACTTGTGCTAAAGAGCTACTAACGATCTTTATTATGAAAAGCACCCTACTTCTATAATGTCAGAAACTTAATGTACTTTTTGTCTTAGACACTGCTAGTTTCATATGCAGCTATGTGAGACATTACATTCAGTAACCAAGTGAAATGGCAAAAGCCCACAACTGTTGCCAATTATTTGAGTGATTGTTGGGAATTTGACTTTTTTTAAGTTAAACTACCCAGAATTATAGATGATTGCATAACCTAGCACATTATCTAACTAGAGTAACTATACACTCTTTACAGTTATAAAGGGGACATTCTATAACCAAGGAAAAGTATTTGTCTTTCTCTTTTTCAGCTTCCCTTTCAGTGAATTAAGCATTGTAATAATTATTCTTATTTTTTATGTCAAGTTTAATGTCAACTTTGTTTCATTGTTTAATGGGAAAATATATTAAGGACTTTCGGGAAAGGCATTAGCTCAGTAATCCAAGTTGTAGAATAACTAACAGTGTAATTAAAATGTTAAAAATTCAAGAATTTTATGTGATTACAGCAAGATAGAAGCATCATTTACTTAGGGAGTTAAATAGCAGTTTAGAAGGAGAAATGGAGTAAACAATGCCTTTTAAAGTGTAAGTCCTTATGTATATTTTAGTAATGGGTTTAATTCAAGTTTCTATTCCTTTTTTGTGGTTTTTTTTTTTTTTTTTTTTTTTTTGCAGTCATAAAATTTTACATAGCCTTGAGGGAAGCCAACTGGTGAAATGTGTGATTTTGTTTTGCTTGTGTAGAAGGGCATGTGTTAGCAAAGGTGTGTTTTATTTTTGTTTTTCACAGTTTAACATAGACAAAGAGGCTGGGGAAAGACAGATTTACCACCGGTACTGCATGGAGCGAGCCTCCGTTCATTGCGCTCACGTGTTCACCACCGTTTCTGAAATAACAGCAATAGAGGCCGAACATATGTTGAAGAGAAAGCCTGGTAATTATTATCCCTGAATCGCCGATCTTTCAGTTCCAAATGACATTAGACTATGAGGATTTTGTTTTTTGGCCGTGAAGTAGTAGTTTGAGGAAAAATTGCATTCAGTTGCCATGCAGCTCTTTACGTGTATTTTACTTCTCAATTTCAGTAGGGTGCAGGGAAACCAACACAAAGCCATGCTGGAACACCGTTAAGTGTTCAATCTGTGCTTGTTGAATAAATGAGCTGTGCTTGAAATACCCTCGGTATGATCTGGGTTGTCATAATGAGTTGGCATGTGTAAGGAAGCTCAGGTGACTCTTGTCTTTTAAGAAAATAAAAGCCAAGAAAATAGAAATTTGTGTGAGACTATCCCAGTCCCACCTACATCTTGTAACATTGCCTCATTGGTGCTGTGTTGGTAGAAACGTGTTCACCTATCTCCAGATTCCTTGCAAATTTTTCTAGGAACTATCCGCAGACCCAACCAGAGCTTGCATTGATGAACTCATGCTCATAAGACCTGGCCCTGTCTCCTGGCCACAGCTGATTGGCCCAAAGGAAAACACCTGACATAAGCTGAGCAATCAGAATGCTCCCATTCAAATGAGTCTCTGAATGCACTGTCATATACTAGAACGTCAGCTTTGAGCTGTTGGTGGTGTTCATTTTTCTATTCTGCTGCACTGGATTGCTGTTAGAAGGAAAAACAGACTGAGAGAGAGAACTCTTTATGTTCTCCACAGTGATTTCGACCACTTTTCAAAATCATCCCTGATGCTCAGCTAAATCTTTGCCATGAGACACTCTGGCATCCTATTAATAAATTCCTCATATTGTACTTAAGCCTGGACTAGTAGATTTATATTGCTTGCAACCAAACCGTCCTAATTAATATATCCTCCTTGCTTAACTCCTGTGGTCTTATCTCTAGTTGTCCTTCTTTCAGATAGCAGAATGTGTAGAGGAGGTATTTTGAGGTAGTAGATTATAAAAAGCAAAACGAAATAAACAAGAATCCAAGTAATTTGAATAGTGGCACCATTACGAACCTATGGTATTCTTGTTTCTTTCCAAGGATACTCTCAGATTCACTTGTATTCTTACTCTCATTCTTCTTTTGGAAGTTTATTCCAACAATATGCTCATTTCTCTCTTGGATCTTCCTTTTTCCTGTCTACAGTATCTTTCTGAGCTCACAAAAATGCTTTCTTTGTTTTTGCCTATTTCAAAGTGAAAATTTCTCTTGAGGTTACTACCCTGCCAAATGTCATACCATCTCCTCCTTTCTTCTCGTTTCTCCTTTCACCAAATTCAGGGTCATCTAATAATTTTCGTTTTTCTTTATGTTCCCTAGCATTTAAAGGGGGTGAACATATTTTTCCATTGCTTTTCATGACACTGCACATTCTAATTTATTTTCAGTAGAATCTTTTCTGGTGTCTCTAATTATTTTTCTGCTTTCTTTTACTTTTCAAAGTGGACATTCTCCAAGATTGTATTCTGGGTCCTGCTTTCTCTATTGCCTTAAATTTTTATTTTCTTAAGAATATACCTACAGAGTAATGGTCAACGCATGAGCTTTGTGCTAAACTGCATGTATTCAGTATCAAAAATGATTTTGTGTTGAATATACATTACTAGCTGTGTGACATTATAAAATACTTAAGCTCTCTGTGCCTTATCTGCATAATGTGGATAATAATTCTTTTGTCGAGAAACACAATGATTCCAAGAGTTAACATATGGAAAAAACAGCTCAGTTCCTGGTCCATTGTAAAGATTTATAAAATATCAACAATTATTATTTTGTATGGATCACGGTCTAGATTTTCCCCAAGTTCTCATCTGTTACCAAGTGCCCACAAGCTAGCTTCACCTGGAAGTTCTACCAGAAACTATAAACACTGCAATCTAGTCCATTTCAGATTGGCAGTAGAATCATGTGGTGGCTCTGATGCAAATTGTGAAATCTCTGAACATTTTGTGTTCAAGAAGGTCAATGGACTTTTAGTAGATCATTAAACATATAAACCTTCCTAAGAGCATTCTGAAAAAAAAAAAAAGGATCACATAGTGTAACTATGACTTTGTATTCCTCAGTTTTTCTTGAAGTCCTCCCCGATTAAAAGTTTAACTACAGCCATTACTTTTAATGCTGAGGGCACAGCTACAGAGCAAGAGACGAATGTTGGCTGGGACAAAAACACGCATGGGATAAGCTATTTTTCAAAATATCACAGTATACTCACTGGCAAAAACCCATATTTATTACTGTATCATTATACTTTAGATATAAATTTGATTTAAAATAATTTAGGATGTTGAAAAGATGATAAAATATTGGAGAGAAGGCAGTATTATACATTTACTAATTACAGATGCATAACTGAATACCACATATGCCTTAAATGTCCTATATTGCTTTAAAAAAGGTTATTATTTTCCCTTTAATATAGTCAATAGTATTGCAATTATTGATTTTTGAGCCTGTGCTATAATACCTTAACGTAAATTCTAGCTAATGCCATCTTTTAGTCAACGTTTTTCCTTTGTGTTGGCGTTGCCTAATGTCAGAAACGTGGGTAACATTGACACTGTCTTGTATTTGAGAACAAATACAGGAAATTAGTGACCAATGTTGCTTCCAGGGAAAGGAACAAATTGGGAAACAGAAGTGGAAAGGAAGCTTTTCAAGGTCTATATTTTGATGTAAGAAAATTAAATGATATGAGCATATAATGTATATGCACTAATTGTGTAGTAATTAATGTACTTATGTGAACTAGACTAAATTAAGTAATCAAATTAATTTAACTAATTCATGAGATTAAATTTAGAGCAATGCCAATTATAGAGTGGAGATAGTCTTTGCTAGTATAGTAAACATTGAGAGAATCCTTTTAAACACACTTTGTAATGACCAAATTCTATGTATTTTTGCTCTAAAGATAAAGTTACAATTTTAATTATGTCACTATGTAAAAGTGTCCATATGGGGAGGGCCAGTGGGAGGGGGAGGTGGGGAGGGATAGCCTGGGGAGAAATGCCAAATGTGGGTGAAGGGGAGAAGAAAAGCAAAGCACACTGCCATGTGTGTACCTACGCAACTGTCTTGCATGCTCTGCTCATGTACCCCCAAACCTATAATCCAATAAAAAATTAAAAAAAAAAAAAAAAAAAAAAAAAAAGTGTCCATATAATTCTTATCCATCAATGAGGCATAAAAGCATGTTTTAAACCTTATTTCTTAAGCCATGTAGGCAGTGATGTGCTAAAACCAGCTCGTGCTAGTTCACAAGAACCAATTGCAATATTTATATATATACAAATTATATATATTATATTTTATAATTTAAATCAAATATATTTTATTTGATTATAAATCAAATTTTATTTGATTTAAATTTATATATATATGAATTATATATATTATATTTTATAATTTAAATCAAATATATATTATATTTATTTGATCTTTTTTGTAATTGTTTTTGAAATAATTTAGAAAATTCCTGAGAATTACAATCTCTAATAAATATATATATTACATATGTGTGTATATATATATGTATATATGTGTGTGTATATATATGTGTATATATGTGTGTATGTATTGCATGGATGGAAATACTGTAATAGTGTTACTGCACTTTCTTCCCAACTCTGCATTTACATTGGTAGCTTGAAATCAGTTATGATGGGAATATTTGCACCTTGAAGAAAGGCAAATACTAAAATAATCTCTCTCTCTCCTCTCTCTCTCTCACTCTTTCTCCTCCTCTCCTCTTTCTCTTTTCCTTTCCCCCATCTCTCTCTTTTTCTCTCTTTTTCCTGGGGTACTCTTTGTTAAATTTTACCAGCACACAACTGCACATAGGCATGTGCGTGTGAGATTATTCTGTTATAAATATGGATATTAGAAAACCTCATTGGCCTAAGTCTTTAGGATAATAAATAGACAATTTCAGGACACAGATCTTTTTCTTTTTTCTTTTGGTAATTGTTTGTGAAGCAATTTAGAAAATTCCTGAGGATTAAATCCATGAGAAGCTGTTATTCACATACATTCTTGCCTTCTATAGCTTTTTGGATGGTACAGTTGTATGACACCACTGCATTATAAGGGTGGAGACCCCTGAGCCAGGCTGCTTTGGTTCTAAATCCAGCCTCTGTTACTTTGTAGTTATTTGAGCTTAGGCAAATGACTTAATATTCTGCAGGCCAACTTTCTCATCTTTAAAATGGGGACAATGAAAACAATTCACCTCATAGGGATTTTTAAAAATTATTATATTTCAAATAGAATAGGGTCTGGCACAAGGTGAGCCTTACATAATTGCTGTAGAAAGATAAATACATGTTAAGATGTAATTGTCGTACTATACCAGTCACACTATATAGTTCATTTAGGAATTACTCACATGAACGCTCTCACTGGAAACTCTGGCTACCTAAGATTGATGCTACTGTGGCCAGCTATGTAAAATAGTAAAACAACTGTCAGATTACTTAATAAAAACTCATAAAAATCCATAATTCTTATTAATCACAAAACATGACCAAAATGCCTCAGTTGATTTGGTGGAACCATGTCAACAGAATAGCCAGTTAACTGTAAAAGATTCCCTTTTTTTGAGATGGAGTCTCACTCTGTCATCCAGGCTGAAGTGCAGTGGCACAATCTTGGCTTACTGCAACATTCGCCTCTTGGGTTCGAGTGAGTCTCCTGCCTCAGCCTCCCCAGTAGCTGGGACAACAGGCCTGCACCAGCACGCTTGACTAATGTTTGTGTCTTTAGTAGAGACAGGGTGTCACCATGTTGGCCAGGCTGGAAAAGACCCCTACAATTACAAAAACCTTCATAGGTCTGTGCTAAATTTTTTTTTAACATAGCTTCTTTTTTCTTGCTTTTGATTTTTTGTTATTAAATGTGATAACTGATGTATTCAACTCAGTAGGTAGTTTCCATCATATGCTCTGATGGTCCCTTGTCACAGACCAATATTTGGAAAATCAAGAATGTCTTCCTGCTTAAGCAACAAAATCTCCTGGGAAGAATGAATCAGTGGATATTAGAAATAAGAAATTATAAATAAGAATAGAAATTAGAAGAGGTTGCCTTTCCAGTTTTCTAAATGCACAAAAGGTGTCCCATACACCTGTGGAAAACAAGATGGCTGGAGGCAGTTTAGAGCTATAGTTAAAGAAACAGTATGGGCCAGGCGCGGTGGCTCACGCCTGTAATCCCAGCACTTTGGGAGGCCGAGGCAGGTGGATCACGAGGTCAAGAAATCGAGACCATCCTGGTCAACATGGTGAAACCCAGCCTCTACTAAAAAATACAAAAAATTAGCTGGGCATGGTGGTGCGTGCCTGTAATCCCAGCTACTCGGGAGGCTGAAGCAGGAGAATTGCCTGAACCCCGGGGCGGGGGTTGCAGTGAGCCGAGATCGCGCCATTGCACTCCAGCCTGGGTAACAAGAGCGAAACTAAGTCTCAAAAAAAAAAAAAAGAAAGAAAGAAAGAAACAGTATGTAGGAGCAGACTGCGTGGATTCTGCTTTGACTTACCAGCCGTGTGTAAGGTTTAAAGACCTTGGACAGGGTCTTCAAACAACTCTGTGCCTGAGTTTCCACCTCTGAAAATGCCGATAAGAGCACTTACTCCATTGGTTTGTTGAGGAAATGGAGTTATACTGTAAACTTTTAGAGCAACACCTGATGCACAGTAAATAATCAATAAATGAAAGCTGTAATAACAATTATTATTGTTATTGATTAACCTGTCTCATCGTACCAGTCCCTCATTGTTATTTTGGTCAGGTATTTCTGATTTCCTATTTCAATCAAAAGATCAAAGTTGTTGTAAATTTTATGAAATTTTTTATGAACTGGAAGTTTTATACATTTTAAATTTTATGGTAATTGGAAACTAGAAATGTTAGTAAATATCGGACTTTATAGATTTAAAGATGCTTTTTTTCTATAATGGTGCCCTCTTTGAAAAGAGAAATTTCATAACAATTTTATTCTGCTTTTCTAGATGTAGTTACTCCAAATGGCTTGAATGTTAAGAAATTTTCAGCAGTGCATGAGTTTCAAAATCTACATGCCATGTACAAGGCCAGAATCCAAGATTTCGTTCGAGGTCATTTCTATGGGTATGATTTTTTTTATTTAAAAAAAAGTAGCATCAGATATGAGGTTCATTGGTAGAGAGAAAACAGCCTTGTAATAGTAAATGTTTATCTTTCCCAGCCCCTTTGTACTTTAACAGAATTCTTGTGTACGTTTTGTTACTGTTGCTGTATTTCATTTCAAACTGTTTTGTTTTATTTTAGTCACCTCGACTTTGATCTTGAAAAGACTTTGTTCCTTTTCATTGCTGGGAGGTATGAGTTTTCAAACAAAGGAGCTGACATCTTCCTAGAATCCTTATCCAGGCTAAATTTCCTGCTGAGGGTAAGAAAGATCTAGGACATGATATAATGCTTTTGTAGAGAGAACTTTCTTCTGTGGGAAGTGAAGAATTTTTTAGCATCTTAAATAGTTTTCAACAGAATTAACAATAACCATGTTCTAGAAATGGCCTCGGCCTTTCAATTTACATATTGGAGTTGGCACATTGTTGAGTTGTGTATTTGTCTATAATGTCTTCTTTTTTTCCCCTTTAGGAGAATCTTAAGCTTATCCCATTATACATGCTATGTTTTAAGAAGTCATTATAACATCCCCTTTCCCCACATGAGTTTGTAATCTGTTGAAAAATATAGAGAGAGACATCAAGTGAATGGAGAGCAAAATATCAATTTTCAAAAAAATCAATGAAGGTTGTAATGGAAGATGTGGCTTATGCACATGACAGTGGCATCCTAATACTGAACCTTGTTATCACTGTTAGCCATTTAATCATGGGAAGATCTGACCATGACTCTCCTCCCTTGACCAAAGCAAGCCTTCAGAGTACCATGTGCCATATAGCTGGCAGCCAAACCAGACACCACTAACTCTCTATAGAACAAGGCAGACACATGCATACTCAGTTCACTCACCTCCCCAGCCACACCTCCTCCCTGAACTGAGAGTCTTAAACTTCCTCCTTAAAGCATGAAGGAGGAAAAAGAAGGTTCTTACTCCCAACAATGTGAAATCATTCTTTTTTATTCAGGAAGGTGGGATACAAAGTGGGTTCTCAACTAATCCAGCAATACAATATGCATAAATAGAAGCAACTATAAAAAATGGCACCATGTCATCGCTATTGATGGAAGCTATTGGTTTATATTCCAATCCCATCACATAAACATATAGAATGAGTAATAGGAAAATATTTACAGGAGAGCCGTGTAGAACTTCAGTTTTAATGAGATAATGAGAAAATCTAAACCTTCTTGAGCTTTGTACTATCCTCCAGTTAAATTTTTATTTCTTGAAGAAAGATGTATCCTTGCTTTAGAGAAGACAGTAGACCAAATACGCTAAAAATTTACTAAAGCCACATTAATAAGAAAGCAATTCATTAATAAAATCCAACTATGCAAAATAGAACTGAAGGCTTAAAAGATTATTCTTAAATAGTGTTACTTCATATATCCTAGTACATATCCATTCAACAAGTTTTATAATGGACACATAACTGTATCAAATATACAGAGCTTTTAGGGACATTATTAATAAATGTATTTAGATAATTATTAAATATGCACTTTATAGATATGAGGAGAAGACAGATTACTATTATACCTGACATAAAAGATAACTGCAATACTTGGAGAAGTTAAAAGAAGGCATTCTCTTTCCACATAGTACATTTATTCTTTGATAGCACATAGGCTGTTCTAGGGTGAGTTTCCTATTGTACACCTTCTGTAGCTTTCCCTTATAAAATGTTAGGCCCCAGAGGGCAGAGGCTACATGCTAGATGGTAAAGTGCCCCACCCTGGAGCTAGTCAGTCATTTCCAGAACACATATACATTCATAGAAGTTCGTGGTTTTAAGTGAGTTTATGCTTTCATTCTTATGGCTTCTTAACAAGTCTTTTCCTTTTGAGAGACGCTAAGCCAGCAGTTTAAATGTCAGCTTTGGTACTAACCTGTTAGAGGAACTCAGACAAAATATTTAACCTCTCATTCCTTTCTTTCAACATTAATAAAATGAGGATGTCTATTGTACATGATTACTATTAGCATATTTAAAGCACCCCAGCACAGTGCCTGCCCTCCCAAAAGTGCTCAATATGTGCTTACTTCTTTATTTTAGGGATAAAAAACAAAATATAACATCATATGAATCAAGACATCTAGCAGAAAAATGTAAATAATATATTTGTCATCAATCAATGTGAATAAGCAAAAAATTTAAATATCATTTTAGCTTTTACCAAAGCTTAAATCTTCATTAAATTTCTACTCTGAAATTTTAAAGAACAAATTTTGATCTTGTAATATTAGCTCTCATTCATGCTATATGTTTAACCACAGAAAAGTGAATGTCATCAAGAGCAATTGTTATCTATTCTAGATTGTCAAAGGCATGAAAATATTTTGTTTGAATTTTTAAACTGTTAATTGACAAAAATGATTGAAAGTCAATTTGTTCATTGACAAGTACTGATTTAAAATTTAAAATGTCTGAAAAAGTCTCAGGAAAGTGAATATAATTTGTGAATCATAAATAACTATTCCTTTTATCTACTGGTAGTCTCTTTATCTACTGATATTTTAAAACACTACTTTTCAATGTTTAAGTTCCATCTATTATACTTTTTAAAAATCTTTGATAGTTGACTCTGCTGTGTTTTCTAATTCCTCATCAGATGCACAAAAGTGAGGTCACAGTGGTGGTGTTTTTCATTATGCCTGCCAAGACAAATAATTTCAACGTGGAAACCCTGAAAGGACAAGCAGTGCGAAAACAGCTGTGGTAATCTCATATCCTGTGAATGTTCTCAAGCAATAAATGTAAAAAGATGTCTTTTAAGTGAATGATATCTCATGTATTGCCTTGAACTTTGTTTCTTCCTTAAGATTTTTACAGACAAATAATACTTGGCCCTTTTTTCATTGTGCTACTCGTTTAGATTATTGTGATGCCTATAACATTGTACGTGTTATAAAAATTTTGAAATGAGCTACCATTGAAGGAACAAGGCCCTGTAGAAATCTTAAAAGATGAGTCAAGCATTTTTAAACTTTTCATTGTGAAATTCTAAAAATATGTCAAGTAAAAAGCTTAGTAGTAGGACCTCCTGTATACTCACAGTTCAGATTCAATAGCGATCACCGAATTCCCATCTTGTTACGTCTACACCTCCATCTACTCTCCCTCTCTGCTCTCTACCCTATTTCAATCATGATGAAGCAAAAAAAATTTAAGCTCTTTGTGCTGGCCATGGTGTTCTGTTGCCACAGCTCTGGAGATTTTAACTTAAGCTGAATTGGAAAGTAGTGAAATAATAAAAGAGGCTATAAAAAAGATACCTGCAATTTCAAAGAATGTAATTTCAAAGAATGTCAATTAAAAAAACAGTATTATCACGATAAATAAAGACTAAACCTTGTCATACTGTTTAAATGATAAGTCTTTCTGTTTGAAACAGGGACATTGCACATTCTGTGAAGGAAAAGTTTGGAAAAAAACTCTATGATGCATTATTAAGGTAGGTGCTTGGAATGCTGTGTTCTTAAGGCTTCACTATTCAAACTTAACAACTTAGACAACACTATGTTATGCTGTCTAAGTTGTTAAGTTTGAACATATTTTGTTACAAATATAAAGGAATTAATAACCTTTGAAAATGTATTATGTCATGTGAACAGTGTTTATCCTTCATTTGACAAAACTTGTAAACATCTGTACAAATAAGAATACATTTATATGCAGGCAAGTTCTAATTCAATGAGGAAGTCATTAAAGGTTGATATATCAATCAGAAGCTGAGGGAGACTTCATGAGATTTTAATTCAAAATATATATTGATAATATGCATCAAATATCTACTTATATATTAAGTCTATATGAACATATTTACTTACTTGAATAACCAACATTATTTATTAAAATACATGAAATAGCTAACATATAATCTGATGCTTAAGAATCACTGAAGTAGTGCCAACTGTTTTTATTTTTGTTATTTATATTTTTTCCCTGCAGAGGAGAAATTCCTGACATGAACAATATTTTAGATCGAGATGATATAACAATTATGAAAAGGGCCATCTTTTCAACTCAGGTAATAAGAAAAAAAGCACCCACCATGTCCCATAGTTATTAAATTCTATCTCAGTCAGTATTTTAATTTATTGAAATGTGTTAATTTGGAAAATGTTTAGACCTGAGGCTAGAAAAGACATTCTTACATAGTCACTTAAATGATTATTTTGTATGTTTTTTCATTAGTGGTTTTAAGGGCTCCTTAAAAAAACTCATGAAACTTGTCTTTCCACTCACAAAATTATTTTTGAATTAATATATTCAATATAAAAATTGTGTATAGTGTAGTAACTAAAAAAAGTCCTAAATATTTCCAAAGCATAGTATGTGAGTCACATTAGAAAAAAGACTATTTCTTAGTCAAGTGGAATTATTACAAAAGAGGTAATATACATGTATTAGACTTGCATCAGAATGCTTGCTATAACACGGAAGAATCGGATACCGGAGGACGGCCTTGCTAAAAGAAATCAGTAAAGTTCATCTTAAGTCAAGACTTCAGGACACTTTTATATTACAAGTAAGTCCCAGAAGCAGTCAAGAAGTCCCGTCTCTCATATAGTAGCTGTGGGCGGAAAACAAAAGCTTCATGTGTTCATAGTAAGCGGAGGAGATTCCTCAACCCATTATCTTCCTCGGAAACACACACAGGAGTTAGTCATCGTCATTAGTGCCCTCTCAAAAGACTGAAGGTATAAAGGTTGTGTGAAATGTCAATGATCTATTGTTGAAATTAGTCACCCTTGTTAATTCTCTCCGCAATTGACATTTCCTTCCATCTCATACTTCAGCGACAGTCACTGCCCCCAGTGACCACGCACAACATGATTGATGACTCCACCGACCCCATCCTCAGCACCATTAGACGGATTGGACTTTTCAACAGTCGCACAGACAGAGTCAAGGTAGATCTGTTTATGTGGGGAACTTCAAACCTACACAAAATATATTTTCTGATAATTTATTAGGATATTTCCTTAGTTGCTTTTACATCTACCAGAAATATTTTAAATATTTTTAAATATATCATTAAATATTTTAAGTATTTTACATCTACCAGAAATAATTTAAGTATTTTAGTTCAGTTTCTTGTCTTGTATAACTAAAGTATAATGAATATTTTGGTAGAATTCTGGAAAATTGAAGCAAAGTCATAGCTTTGGGCTATAATCATAGCATTTATTTCCACTGTACAATACTGCCAAATAAACATAAGGAAATTACTTACTTTTTAATGATACCAATATATTCTAAGAATGAAGGAATTGATGATATTAACATGAATTGTGTTTGTTTCTTTCTAATAAAGTTCAGCGTAAGGGAATACTACGAGAAGCTCCCAGTTTCAGAGAATGTGGCTAATAAGTTTTTATATAATTTTCTATAGAGCAATTCATTCTTTTGACTTGAGTTTCTGCAATGACTAGGCACAGTGTTACTTGCTGAGGACGTTTATATGAATAAGACCTGGTTTCTGCCACTGTGGAGTTTAATCTATATGATACTTACTGAGAGCCTGCTGTATTCCAGGCGTGGTTCTGGATATAGAAGACAATGGTGAACATGTAAACAGATAATTGCTTACCTCTGCTCAGCTCGGTCCACTGATGTTCAAGATCAAATGGCTGCAACCAATATTTTCAAGGGATCCCACTTTCTCTTCTTTCATTTTCAGCAGATGACCTAATTGATAATTAAATGAATTATGAACTCCTTCAGTAACCCTTCATGCTGGCCTCTAATATAGATTTTGACCTATTCTTATATTTTTTCCTTCAGGTTCTTAGGACTATTCTTATTTCAATCCCCACATATTTAGGAATCTTGACTTATCTTTTTACCTTCTGTTTTATTGTACATTTCTTTCTTATCACTAACTCCTTCTCTTGCTATCTATAAATATTTCTTAAATTTCCCTGTGTTAAAAAAAAATCAACTAAATTCGGCCTTCACCCTCTTTCCCTTTGATGTTTTTACAAAACAATGGGAGAGATGGTTGCATGTAGGAAAGGCCATACTTAGTGACTGATGGATACTGGGAGTAACAAAGAGAAAAAAATGAAGAAAAATAGCATCCTGGCTTCAGTATTTAACCAATGCTTTCTAAAAATCAAAACAAGTCTTTAGCAGAACCTGGTTTGAGGGTCAAGTCATGAACTGAGTTCAGTTTCTGATGAATTGAGTTTAAGTTACGTGTGAGATATCCAACTTGAGATATTTAATGGGCACTGAGAAAACATAGGTGTGGAGCTTATGAGGGCAATCTCAAAGGGAGATATCGGTGCGTGGACAGCAGTGGACACCAAGGAATGGAGATCCCAACACACTCAAACCAGGTTGAGGGCTGGGTGCAGTGGTTCGCACCTGTAATTCCAGCACTTTGGGAGGTTGAGGTAGGTGGGTCACTTGAGCCCAGGAGTTCAAGACCAGCTGGGCAACATAGTGATACCCTGTCTCTATAAAATATACAAAGAAATTAGCCAGGTTTGGTGGCACATGCCTGTAGTACCAGCTACTAGAGAGATAGAAGTGAGAGGTAGAGGCTGCAATGAGCTGTGATTGTGCCACTGCCCTCCAGCATGGGTGAGAGTAAGACTTTGTCTCAAAAAAACCCCCACAAAAACAAAAATAAAAAGGACTATGTTGAATGAGTAGAAAAAAATGTCAATCCAAGGATACTTCAAGATTTAAGAGAAAATTAAGGAGGAAAAGTCAGGGAAAGAAAGAAAGAGCAGAGAATAAACAATTTATATTTTGGAAATCGAGGTAGGAGAAATGTTCATAATTGTAGGAAGACCTCATGATATCACATTAAGTAACGCAAGCAGTTTGTAAAATGTTCCATTCTGTGTTATCCCATTTATATCAAACATATCTATATGCACATATACCCTAGGCCATAGAATTGTTACTGGAGCGGCAGGTTTTTGATCTGGGTCCCCTTGCTCGAGGCTCGGAAAGCCAGTCACTGAGAAAATGAGTCTTGCTAGGGAAGAAGCCTTTTTCGGGTGCTGCAGCCTAGGAGAATGAGAGATCAGCCTCAAACTCATCTGCCATTTGACTAAAATTGGGGGGGTTATATAGCGGGGAAGGAATGTAAAACAGGAATTAGGGAAGGATAAAGAAGCAATCATGAGGAATGAGACATCTGGAATCTCACTGTCTGGATGCAGTGATCTGGTGAGCAACCGTCCCTTACCTGAGGATCAGTTTCCCGAGGGAGAAACTTTGATGAGACAAAGGTAAACATCAAGTTTTAAGATCTGAAGTGTCAATTTCTATGTTTATTCAAAAACCCGTAAGTATTATTTCTATAGGATAGTGGTGCTAGTTTCATTGTAAGTGGGTTTTATTTTCTCATTTGCGTTTCTGTATTTCTGAAATTTCTATACAAGCACACCTTCTATAATAAGTGAGCTACCTCCCTGGGAATGCAGGAATGTATCCATCAAGGTGCATGACCCCTTAGATTTTTTAGTGTCATTAGATCCACAGAGACTTATAGTTCATTACAGTGTGTCAGCACTAACTAGACTTCATTTTCATATAGTTTAACCTAGGCTGGTCTTCTCTGTCTCCTGGAAAGAAAATAGTAAAGGGGCAATGAAAGCCTTTTATTTCCCTGTAGATTTCTGTTTTTCTTTTGTGTCACACTTATATCTAAATCTATAGATCTTTTCCTGAGGTCTGTCTGCTGCCTGGCACATGTTATGTACTACACATGCAGATAGAAGGGAGGGATGAGGGAAAGTGGGAAAAGGAGGAATGGCTCATGTAGCTGGCAATAGTTCATGCTTCCCTTGCTCTTGGGAAGACTGAGGCTGGAAGGTACCTTGAAATTGGGAGCTCTGAATGAAGAATGCCTTGCTGATTTACATTTTAAAAGTGTTTTGCCTGAAACAATTTTCCAGGAATGGAAAAGTACCTTATTTTCTAAACATGTGACACTTTCACACCTCTGTGTCCTTCCTGATGTTATCATCGCTTTCTGAAATACTTATCTGTCCTTCTAATAATTCTTTTAAGATCCAACCTAAAAGTCATTACTTCCTTGCACCTTTCCCTAACACACATTCCTCTACTCCAGACAGGAACAGTGTTTCCTTATCTGCATTCTCAAGACACTTTATATCTACTGCATTTATAGGAGTTACCACAAGAAATGGTATTTTTTAAAATGTTATGTGTCAGTTTCTCTAGAAGAACTCAGTTCTTTGAGGCAACAATCATGTCTCATATGTATTGTCTCAGTTTACGTTCTCTGGAAAGCAGACACCAAGGTGAGAGGATAAAGGAGTTGAAAGCAAGTGCAGGCAGGGAGATGCAGATCAGAGCAGGAAGGAAGGATGATGTAGGAAGAGCCATAGACTGCAGTCCAGGTTAAAAATGCCTAGTCTGTCCTTCCTTCCTCCCTTCCTCCCTCCCTCCCTTCCTTCCTTCCATTCTTACTTCCTTCTTTTTTGCTTCCTTCCTTCCTTTTTTACTTCCTTTCTTCCTTTCCTCCTTCCTTCCTTTCATTCTTTCCTAGAAAGGAAAGTCAAATGTATTTAATAAAAAACAAGAATTAATAAAAATTGGCTAATATACAAAAAATATACACACAGCAGCAGCACTTGTGACTGACACAGGGAAAGAGCAATGGTCCAAGACCACTCAACATGGCTTGTCAGTTAGTGGAAGGAAAAAAAAAGAATGCATACATACACATATACACAGAAAAAAATAGTTTTCAATAGTGCAATCTACAGCTAACACAAATTCAGAACTATTTTACAGTGCTTCCTTTCTTAATCCAAAAGAAGCCTATTTTATGTGTGTGTGTGTGTGTTTACATTGGTTTACCATTACCTTATTTAAAATATATTAGTGTTAATGTTACTACACACAACTTTTTTTTGTATTCAGCAACCTTTTCATTCTGTTTTAGCTTTATATGCCTCCCACTTAACAAAATAGTTTCAGATTGGCAGGTAGGTGTCTGATTCTATGAGCAATTGAATGGGGATTCCTATTAATAGGGATAGGGATTCCCCAAACACAAATTGCCCATTAAATGCACCTGTTGGGCAGAAACCACTTCACACCGGTACTAGTTTCTGCCAGTTCCTGTAGGTTAGGAGCCGTTGCTGCAGTAGATCCAGAAGGAAGGCAATTGGTGCTGTCAGTCAAGATCCCTGGGGCTAAGATCTCTAGAAGGAAAGCTGAACTGTATTTCCAGGGCTGGCAGATCTACAAAGAAGGCAGCCGCAGGCTGAGTCCATGAAGACTGTCTTTAAATCCCGGCCACTTATCTAATTTGAAAATTCACTGCATCTGTCTGCACCTCAGTCTTCTCAACTGTGAATGGTGAGAAAATAGCCTCACACTCAGAAGTGTGAGGATTAAATTAGACATAGGCCAAGCACGGTGGCTCCTGCCTGTAATCCCAGTAACTCAAAAGGCTGAGGCTGGAGGATCACTTCAGGCCAGGAGTTCGAGGATGCAGCCACCTATGAATGTGCCACTGTACCGTAGACTGGGCGACAGAGTGGGAACCTGTCTCATAAAACATTCATAAATAGGTGCTGCATTTAAGAGCTTGGCACATAGCAAATACATAATAAGTATTAGCTTCTTTTAGTAGTTAACCCAGTATCTGACACATGATGGGAACTCATTATTTTTAGAAGAGATGTGAATAGAGTTTGGTGAGAGTTGAAGAAAGTGGATTTATCTTTGCCTGCAGGATTTGGTAAGACGTTTTATAAAAGAGATGACATGTTAGCTAGATCTTGATTAATGATCAGAAATTCATCATGCAAATAACAGAAAAGAGGACTCACTCGGCAGAGGGAAAAAAGTAGATGAAAAGGCACAGAGATATCAAAGCACTTGACTTTCATAGGGTGAGTGAAGATGAAAGTTT